GTCAATCTGATTCGATTAATATTTTGTAGACAAGAAACATGAAAAAAAAAATATAAAATCATTACTTTACCTTCATTTACATTTGGTTATGTTATTCTCATTAAATTGTATTGATTATAAACAACTCAAACAGACTTATCATTATTTCGATCAAAATTATGTTTATAGTGTGTATGTAGTTAGTTATTTTTTTAATGTTTTTACAAATCTAAAATACAAATTGACTAATCTTTTCTTTCGTTTAAGCTATAATCTTTGAAATGTCTTTTTTTTTTCTTACATCTTGTTATTTGCTTAAACTTTTGCCGAATAAAATATTTGATATAAATCAATCGATGTCATTTTTAATTAAAAAAAAAAACATCAATAAATTTTATTCTATAGGTTAAATATCAATGAAATGAGTTTCAACAAGATTATATTTTCATATTAGTGTTATATTTTATTGTTAATGATATCACATTAGACAAAATTTATATACATTAACTAAACTGTTTCGTAATACATACTTTTCTTCCGTATGACATAGAATTGCATCAAAGAATAATTGCACTTAACATTATAACAATAAAAGTATGGTTACATATAATATATTATCAAAAAGAGCTAGTTAATAGAATTCTCAACTTTTCATTATGACATTGTTGATGTTGTTTGACAACAATTATCAAGAAACGTTTATTTGATATTTATAATTATTTGTTTCGAAAGAAAAAAACTGTTTGGCTATCATTGAAACAATGACATGTGATTCTGTATGAATGAGAAACATATGATCTCTCACATAACTCAATTCAGTATATATATATTTATTTGAATAAAGAATATGAATCTGTTTTTTTTAAATTGATATCAAGTTCTATGATAATAACCACAATAGATCTTCAAATCAAGCGAAATTAACTTTTTGATCGACATGACATGTATAGAATACAAATAAACTATAATTACCAAATAGATTGTTAACAAAATTAATAAACGATTTTTCTCATGATATGAAAAAAAAAAAACAGTTGAAAAAATTTCATAATTAAAATTCATTTAACAAATAACTCGTCTTATTTGACTTTGAATGTTTCCTTTTTTCTTTTAGACCAAGAAAAATAATAAGTTTTCTTGATAACGAGTATTATTTGAAGCTTTATCTACCTTGGATTCATGGTCATTTTATTCTTGGTATACTAATTTTCAATGTTATTAACTAATATAAACCAATGATTACTATTCTGTTTTTTCCGTTTTCCTGCTCGATGATTATAATTATGACTAGCAATAGTCATAAGCAAGTCAAACCTTGAATATAGACTATACGATTTATGTGACTGTCAACTGAGGGAAAAAACCGGAATGATAATTACGTTAAGATATGCGCTATCATATATGAATTTTCTAGTGTTTTGGCAGTTCAAGGTTCAGATTTAATTGAATGCAGTCTATTGATAACGATTAAAATCATTCGTTTAAATCATCTTTTCAGAAGTGCATACCTTCTCTTATTTGACCTCTACTGTCGCCTTATATGTATTCATGTCCTCGTGGATCAATGGATACGATAGTGATAAAAAAAAAATGAAGCAAAAATCGATTAATGGTGATACTTCTATAATGAAAGCCTACTAATATTAGCATTATTACGCATCGTTTTTTCAATGCTCAAATCAAGTTACATTAATCAATCAGGTATATCCTCTGCATATACCAATGTATTTTAAATTGATTCATACCACCACCTACTTACTATACGCATATGTATCCATATACGCATACATACGTTTATATAAGTATACGTTAGTATTTACCTCTTCAACGTATAGTTCATCCTTCAACGCTCTTCTATAATCAACTAAGCAATATAATAAAATATCTATTTCATAGTAGGAAGAAACAATCAATAAGAGAAGAGAAAAAAGAAAAAAGAAAAAAAAAAACACAAATAAAACTGATTGCCTGTGACGACATTTTAGACGCTATCGACTATCGTTTCTCATCGAATGTTATTACAGGTATTGACTTAGGTAGATGATGTACACATCTTTATTTTCTTATTACTAATAATAATAAAAAAAACTTAAAGACAATGATATTCAGATAATGAATACTATCGGCAATGTTACAGTAAGTATGAAAGTGTCAACTGTCACTTATATATAAACATATTATATAAGAGAAGGTAAGCGCAGCTATTGCTATTCTATCTCATCATCTCTATTTGAATGTGGTTTAAATCTTCATCATCCTACTCTATACATACATTCCTACATGACTTGCCCCTTTCGGCTTAGATGACAATCATATGTTTTTTTTTGTGCATGAATGTGTATATACATAAGTATTTATGTATTATACAGAAGTAGAAGTATGGCGATGAAAATTGAGCGACCCGTTTGCCAGTAATATTGACCTCGATATACTTATTATATGAGAACCGTTCGAGTAGCAAAAAGGCAAGCAGACCAACAAACAGAACGTTTATGTAACAATTATGTTTCCTCTTTTGTTGTTGTTACTGTTGCTGGTCGATTTGTGCTTTCACTCGCTTGATCATAATGGATGAGACAAATAACGATGACAATACCTTGTTGCTTATACTATTAAACAAACAGTCAAAGTGGGTCCTTTTAGTTGTATGTCTACTATTGCCTCGTTCGTTTTTTTTTCTTTTTCTCTTTGTTGGACATTATGTCATGTATATGTGAGTGTCATTTTCTCTTTCACTGTCATTTTTTTTTTCTTTTTCTTACTTTGATTACGACAAAATGGTCAGTTGCAGATATTATTACAATGAATAGAATGTTGTTTTGAAGAAAATATGAGTAACGATCTAGTTACTTTATTTGTCACGGCAATGATGAGTATGTACTTGACAGACAGATATTTGCATACAATGAATGATGCTTTTTGCTCTATTATCTATATACTAAATATAGAATGTTCATATATATGACCTTCACTAATGTCTACTTTTGTATTTGATAGAAATTGAAGAAGTAAAGTAATTTCATGCTAAAGTAGACACTTTTGATTTTTTATTTCAATCATACAGACTACTTTTTTAAATGCATGAAGAGCTTAGACAGGTAGACAGCTGCGTGTATTGTTTCTTCTATCATACGCTTAATCTATTCATTATACGTAATAAGATTCTGTTTGTAAATGAGTATATAGTACCAATAAATAATAAGTCGTCCATACGTGGATTATATTGAACATTAGACAAAAAGAAAAAAGAAAGATACTACTAATGCTTCATTCATCTCGGACTAAATAGTAGTAAAATGATAATAGATTAATTAAAATTGATCGAATTAAGATCAATAACGATTATATATATATATATATATATATATATAGAATACATTTGAGATAAATACAAAAAAAAATTGATGTATATAGAATTGCTCTCATTTATTATTCAATGTTGTCCGCTGCTGGGTGCCTATTTTGATAATGTTACATGAAGCTAGAATAACAACGTGAGAATGATATCAATGCCATCACTAGTGTCATCGCGTTGTTGTTGCAAATAGATGACGACGATTATGAGAATAATGAAGATGAATGTATCCATCTAATGAGAAACAAGAAAAAAAAGTAATATATAAAAAAAGATAACTGTTTGATATATTCATTCTATGTAGACGATATCTACAAGAAACTTATTCTTATATTTTGTGTTATTTATTGAGATCAATATCTCACTATCTATTATTAATTAATTATCAACAAAAGACAATATAAATTGTCTTTTATATATAAATATATATTGTATTCGAAAACAGATCTAAAAAGATATTTCATTAGAAAATCTTTTCTTTACTAAAAATATTATTTTCTTATAATCAGGTAGATATGTTATTTTTTATTAGTTTATTTCACTTATTTGTTGTTGTTTTTTATCGTTTTTCTAATGTTATCACATTAATTTCCTTGTTTTGCTTATCTCTTTGTTTATTTATCAATGTATCAGTATGTTCTAGCTAATTACACATATGTAAGATGATTCCAATAACATATTTCTCTTGTTTTGATACACCGAAAAAAAAAACCCTACTCAAAATGAAATAAAATTAAAATTATTATTTTTCATAGGTTTTTTTGTGTCATTTGATTTTTTAAATATTAAACCATAAAAATAATGCGATTCTTAAAAACCACATCTGATAATACACCATTATTAGTTAATGAACATGAGACAACAACGTCTCCAAAAATATCATTATCACATAGAGATCATCATTCATCTATTCAATGTCATAACCTACGACAAGATCATATGCCGAATTCAATAGATAAATCCTTACCATCTTCAGAATATATTTATACTGAAATTGTTAAAGCAATTGGAAATAATGAATTTATTCAAGAAAAACGTTTACTTAAACGAGCTAGTTGGAGTCCAGGTAACAATCAAGAACATGGTTTACCACCAACTGGAAAAAGTACCGATAATGAACAATTAACAACAAATAGAAATTCTCATCGAATACGCGTACGACCAAAAGTATCTAGATATTTTCAACCACAAAATAATCCATATAATCATCAAATGTCTTGTGGAAGACCCGCTTCATTTAATGAAGGACATAATCGTCATTCAATTGATCATCAATCAAGAAAGCATTCAAATTCATCCTTAGTAAGTTATCTAATACAACACAATTTTATACACACATCTGTTAGTTTTCTTCCGATATATCTTTTCTTAAATTAAATCAAAAAAGTGTTACAAAAATAATTACCGAAATCTCAACTCATATTTATCCGCAAGAGTTCACTCTTTTTCTGGTTGAAAGATCGAAGATTGGATTTGAAAAATAAAAAACATAGGAAACAAAGTTTTTTTCCTTTTTTTTAAAAACACATTTTCTGAAACAGTATACAATTCCCTACAAGTTTAAATCAATTTTAACTCCTGAATAATAAATGTTTTCTCAATATTCTATCATTTCCATGTAAAATAATATATTTTTTTTCTATCAAAACTAAGATGTACAATATGCTTTATTTACTCTTGAAGAATTATTACTGAGAAATTTTCTAAAGTGTAAAAGTCGATAAAGTTTTGCAAGGACTATTTAGTCATCTATTTGATTTTCAAGAAAAAATTTTTTCGTCAAATTCAAGAAAAAATATAAAGGAAATGATACGTTGCAAGAACATTTTTTTCCTTTTTCTTTTTTTTTTTGAAATTCAAACTTTGCTCTTTCAACATGAAAAGGAATAAACTTTCCAAAAAGTTCCGATGCAGAGAACCATAGATCGAGATTTTGTCAATTACTTTTGCATCGTAGAACTGTTCGTATAAATATTATATTTTAAATGTGTCTGTTATTGACATAAATTTTTTATCAACATATAATTTAGACAAAGTTAAACATAGTAATTTTTTTCAATTAAAAACTATTCATAAATCATTTTAACATGTTTTGAATTATTCAGATGTTTTTATTTTAGAAAGAACGATGCGTTAATAATTTCGTTTTTTTTTTACTTGTTTTCATAGAATCAAAATGATCGTTTTGCACATCAACGACGTCAATCTTCGTCTTCTCTCTCATCATCTTCAGCTGATACAATAGTACAAACCACAGGACGTAGATCACCTTCATATGATAGTAGTGATTTTATTAGTGATACATCAGCTGCATCATCAATAACAACAACAAATACAATAACATCTTTATCTTCAGCTATTCCTCCTCACATATGTCGGCGAACAAGTCCCAGTAGTGAACGTATTCATTCATCACCAAAACGTCCATTATTAAATGAATATCAACAACCAAATTCAACACATATCGATTACAAATTTTCCTCACCAGTTAATTCTGTTCGTTCAACATCTCCAATTTCTTTACCTCCATCTATTTCTACTTCTACAACTTCTGTTACTTATCCCAAAGGTCATGAACAGTCATTGTCATCTTCCAAAGGGTCATCACTAAATCAATATAAAGAGTTTACTTCACAAACATTAACTGATGATACATCTCGAGACGATATTAGTCCTTCAACAACAATAACGACACGTAGTATAATGACTATGTCAGTGTCACCTAATCGCCATCATAATCAAACGCGTTCAGCAAAAGCTATCATCACATCATCATCATCATCTCAAATATCCCCATCAAAAAACGTCACAATCATGACAAACAATAGTGATGGATTAAAGCAGCAACAGCAACGAGATCAAACAGAATCGTAAGTGAATTTCACATCAGTCTGTCTATGTTTACTTTTTCTCTCATAAAATACCAATCAAAAAAACTGGTTGACAAGTGATTGTCAGTTCATTCTCTTTGTTATTTTTTCATTCTATTGAATTACTTCTATACATATACATATATATATATATATATAGGGCAATGGTTTGTAGTAATGGTTGTTTAAAATCACCGACAAATACAAATAATAATAATCGTATGAAAAAATCTGTTCACTTTGACTGGCATTTGCCTAAAGAAATTCGGTCACGTTCACCATCACCGGCCAATATAGATTGTAGTAGTAATTACCAACAGACGGTTGCAATTGCATCTTCATCTTCATTGTTCAATGGTAATGGTAATAGTGGCGACAATGACGAACAAAAGAAACTATGCGATGATCAACGTGATGTCGAGACATTGAGAGAAAAAGAGAGAATTGAAACAACGAGGAGAACAATCACTACTAACCCGTTGACCACAAACACTAACACAAGCACAATTCTTCATTCTTTTTCTCTTTCTCCATCACCGCTATCGAAAGAAGAGGGTAACGATAGTCGACCATATAGAGAAGAAAAAAAAGAAAATGTCGACGAGCCAAACTGCATTACTTCTCAACGAGTAACAACTGCTGCTACTCACCTTCATTGCACTACTACTGCTACAGTCACTTTCAATGACGGTAGCAACAACGTCTTGCAAAAAAAAGAATCGAATGGCACGAACAATTCTAATAAATGTACGAATGACCTCTCTTTTTTTAATCAATCATTGAGTCGGTTTCTTTTTTTTTTTTAATTTTTTTCAAAAGACATATTAAAACGACAACAATCACCATCAATTGACAAACCTATGCCATTAAATAATTTACTTGTGAAAACATCTTCACTTAATACAATTATTAATCCACAAATCCCACAGCAATCATCATCATCATCATCATCAGCAACATCAACAGCCAAAAAATTAATTAGTAATGGTTTTTTTAATTTTATTGGTCGATCACATAGCAATAATAACAAGTCATCAATATCGACCGAAGAAAATAAACAATTACGACGTACATCGTCCACTCAACTACGTGCTCAACGAAAGACTAAACAACAGACAACATTAACAACAGGGGCAAACGGAAATAAACGACTTAGCGCGGATGTCGAATCTCTTCTTCCTGTATCTTCAATCAATAGCAATGATCGTGAAATATCAAATGAAGATGCTCATATATTTGACAAGGTTACAACAAAAAATAATAATAATAATAATAATAATAATAATAGTGAACGACAATCATCGATTTCTCTTGTTTCAACATCGATAGACAAGAATATCAATGATACTAGCTCTTCTAACAACGGTAAGTATATGAACCAAGGTCAATATGAGAGTTTACTATGATGACATGTTCGTATGTAAGGAGTAGGTGGAGTGTATTCCAAGGTTCTTTCATTTTTTTTCTTCTCTTTTCATTCTCATAATATTCTCATTTAGAATCATCTATCCCACTGTGTACAAACACTAACATCAATAATAGTTCATTATCAATGTCAACGAATTCTACAACGACAATTATTAAATCGGATGAAGGTGATTCATTAAATAATGGTCTTCTTTTTCGACCAGTAACTGATCCAAAATGTGATTATATTTTACATGATCATCAAACAATAAAGAAAGAACCTTTCTTTTTATCACCAATAAAATCATTATCTAATAATGATGATGAATCTACAATAATCCAAACATCAACACTTATTATTTCGACACCATCACAATATCATTATTATTTATATCCACCAATTAATAATACAAATACATTGTCATCATCATCATCGTCATCATCGTCATCATCATCATCGAAAAAAAATTCAAAATTAATTTCAATAACAAATCGTACAATATCAAATGTTAGTATCAATAGTGTTAGTACAAATTCATCTTCATCATATCGATCATATGAATCTCAAATACATGATAATGAATATCCACAATCAAGTCGTACTCCTCTTAATGCTGAAGATGAAACAGCATCAAATTCAACTTATTCAATAACAAATAATAATAATAATAATAATAATAAAATACGTCAAAAAAAAGTTATTCAATCAGCATTAATTGATTGGAAAATGAAATCATCATCAGAAATAAATAATGATTCAATAACTACAACAAAACCTGTTATATTATCTGATTCTGTACAAGCTTTTTGGCCTCCACCACCTTCACCATTAACATTAGATAAAGATTCAGGATTAACAACAATGACATCAACAACTACTGAACAAGTAGGTCAATAAAAGAAAAAAACGAAAGAAAGAAAGACAAGAAATCAAATCAAATCAAATAAATTTATTTTATTCTTTAAATGTTTTAGACTAAACAATCAGAATCAATACCCATACCAAATAATATTATTAGGTAAGAAGTCATTTTTATTTCTTCAGTAAATATTGGATTTTATTGTATACAATTGAACAGAAACCTTATATGTTTTCTATAGAGTATATAATATGAATCTTTGTTTGTAGTTCAAGTTCTCACAATGATTCAATAAATGTTAATCATATTGATATATTATCAACGAAAGAAGAAATTGGATCTTATGCCGAACAACATACATTTACTAATGGTTGTCTAAGAAATGGTATGTATTATTGACCTTGTATATATTTCTTTTTTCTCTTAATATAAAAAAGAAAATAGAATCTATTCAGTCGTTTTTTACTTATCATATTGTAATTATCTCAATGATATTAATTGTTTTTGAAATGAAACATACCCTTGAGAAAAAATGAAAAATTTTTCCCCATCATTGTTCTTAATCATTTCTATTCATATTTCAATTAGTTGTTTTCATTTTTTTTTTTTTTTTTACTTTTTTGTTCCTATATGGTATATGATGTATGCAAATAGAACAATTTTATTTCATGTTGTAAATTATAATGAATATTATATTAAACAATATTGCAAACATTCAATATCTTATCGAATATGTAATTCTACGACAATGTATATATGTATGTTTGAAAAAGAAGAAAAAAAAAAACCGAAAGAGAAATATGCATTTATCTCTTTTTCTTCTTTCTTTAGCCAACAAAATCAGTTCTTTCTTTTCTTTTTTTTTTTTTTTTTGTATTTCTTTCTTTTTTTTTATGTAAGAAGAATGCATAGAATGAGAAGAACACATTTAATAAAGGCGTCATATTGGAGTATTTGAGTTTTATTCTTTATTCCTACTGTTTAAAAAACTTGACATGAGTAGATTTTTTTTTTTGTTATGTAAAATTTACATAGAGTGACATTATTTTATATATTCTATTTGATTCTATTTTGTATTTATTATTTAGCAAGTGATACATCTTTAGAAGATACACAAGCATCATATACAGAACGTTTACGTGAAAAATCTCGTTCAATACCAATGAATGCAAATAATGATATGTATTCTTATTTAACACGATCAATATCAAAAGATGCATTAAATGATTGTCATTTACATCCAAATACACATTTAAATATAACAGAATTTCCTTTAACAAATGAAAATATTTTAAGACCAAAATCAGCCGGTCAACAAACTCGTACAACACATATAATATCAAAACCACATATGGAAAATTCTGATAATGATTTTCAATCAAAACGAGATTTTTTTGAAAATCGTACATATACAGATAATACATCAATAAATTCTTCTTTATCATCAATCCCAACAAATGTATTACCAACAAAACCAAAAATATATACATTATCTCCAGCAAATCCACAAATTAATAATAATAATAATAATAATAATAATGTTTCACAACAGACGACAACAATAAATAATAATCCTCAACGTAATGTAACAAGGTAAAAATGATTTCTATAAATCTATTTTTCTTTTCATAGAAAGAAAAAAAAAGAAAAAGAAAAAGAAAAAGGACAAGGATAGATTGTTAT